ATGTTTGACATATTAGCATCTTTCTTTTCAGGTCAAAAGCCAGAAAATCCTCTTTTGTTGCTTGGACAATATAGCGATGAGGAATTGGAGGAAGAATCTGGTAAAGAAATCAGCCATGATACTAGAGAGAATTCACCAGCTGAGCTTGATGAACAGGTGTGTTTTGTAATGTCTAGTTTTCAATTGGTTGTGGTAAATATATTTAAGTACCAATCATGCTTATCTTATGACAGGTAAAGGCAGACAGTCATGAGGGTACAGAAGTAGATAAAGATGAAAATCTTACTTGTGAAAAACCTGATCAAGAGAACAAAGACCAGTCTTCTTCATTGGATGTGGAAGAAAATGGTGTTGTTGAAGATGATATGGTTTTGGCCTCACACAAAGACATGGATGAAGTGGAGCAGACAACTGTGTCGTGGACATCCGACACACAAACAGAAAATACGGATTCAGGATGGAAAATGGTGTTGCATGAGGAGAGTAATTCATATTATTACTGGAACATTGCGACTGGTCAAACGTCTTGGGAAGTCCCTGTTGACCTGGTTCAAGGAAATGAACCAGCCTATGATCCTCAATCTGTTACAGAAGTTGAGGAAATGCATGTAACTTCTGATGATACACAACCGAATGATGGGCCCACAAAATCTTTGGTTTCTGAGGCCACTGACAATGAGAGTTGTAGGCCAGAATTACAAGTGCAGAATGAAAACCATACAGATATCATGACCATGTCAAATGATGTGGCCGAGGGTAATTATGTCAATGCAATAGATGGTGTGAATAATGGGGAAGCCCACCATACTGATTCTTTACATCTTTTGCAACTTGGTGAAAGTTTATCGGAGAGATTAAGATCTTTGAAAGGGGAAAACAAAGAGATATCAAAGTTGATGATTGAACTTGATGTAAGGCTTGCAGACATTAAGTCATTAGTACCTTATGGATCATCATTGCTTCCTTTTTGGCTTCATTCTGAAAATCATTTGAGAAAACTAGAATCCGCAATCAACAATGAGATTCAAGAACATTCTCAATCACCAAACGAGGCAGAAAAGAAGGTAGAAGAGAACATGAATGAAGCAACTGCAAGTGAAAAAGAAGAAGAAGAAAATGAAAATGAAAATGAAATATCAAATGCAGTTCCTCAAGCAGATACAGATGACGACATGGATGTTGAAATGGAGGTTGAAGATGAACCAGTTGTCCAAAACAGGCCCCGATCTGAAGAAGAATCTGAGGTTCCACCACCACCGAATGATGAATGGGTCCCGCCTCCACCACCGGATGATGAACCGTTACCTCCACCACCGCCAGATGAACAACCTGAAGCCACATTCCCTCCACCGCAAGCTTACTCATACGGAGGAGGAGAAGGAGAAGAATATGCACATTTTGCATATGGGGGTCCGGGTCCCACTCCCACTCCCACTCCCACTCCCACTCCCAGTTTTGAATACTATGGTCAACAAGTTGTTGCAAATCATGATTACTATGTAGATGCGAATGGAGCAGCCGTCACAACCCTTTATTATGCACCAGTGGGATATCCAGGTGGAGAACATGTGACATATTACACCATACAAGAAGGGTCTGTACCAATTCAGCCAGTGATTGGCAGTGAAAGTGTTGCTTCTGATGCAGCAACTGCTCCAACAGAATCATCATCACTTCCTAAGGTTCAGCCTAAAGGTAAGTGTAGAATCTTACAGATGAAATGATTCATCTAACAATTTTATTAACTTTTTCTGGTTTCTGTCTTGTTTATTAAGTAGATGATGATTTTGTTTTCAACTTTACAGTTGTGCGAAATAAAAAACGAACGGTTGCTGCAGTCCCTGGTTTAAGATCCAATAAGAAGGTTTCAGGCTTGGTGGATAAGGTAAACTTTTGGTCACTAAATAGTAACCATGTTTCTGCTTTCTTCTTACCTAAAGGCTAAAGCTAAAGGTAGCTTTTTTTTTTTTTTTTTTTAACCAACTACCTCATTCTATCACACACTTACTTACATTGTTTTTATTTTTTTGATTTCTTATGTGTTTTATAAAAAAATATATGTAAGATGTTGGAAATTTAGTAACAATCAAATGTAAAATATATGTTACTAGTTTTATAAATCTAGAAAAATAAAATTGCGTATCAATTACATATAAAACTTTCTTTTTTCTATTTTTCTAATATATAAGATCCAGAAAAGTCGTCGTTCTTTAATAATTGTATCATACAGTTACAAACAGATATTATATTTAAGAATTTTAAGTAGTAGCAAAGACTTTGCAGAAAGCCTTGTTGTTTTCATTAAAAAGCATAATTATATTTATTACATCATCCTTATTTAAAGAATTTTTAGTTTAAATGATTACTGGTTAAAGTCTTTTATAAAAATTGAGGTTGCTTGATGGAAAAAAACTGAAAGTTGGTTACTATTTATTGAAGTTGTTGTATGTAAGTTATCACATGATTGGCAAGTGTATAGTCTAACACGCTAAAAAAAGTTGCCTTTTTACATTTTCATATCAGTGGAACTCGAGTGGTGAAACGTTTTTAAAAAAAAAAAAAAAAAGATGTCTCTAGGTGGAACCAACGTGATATTAATTCCTTTTTTTTATTTTTTTTGAATAATATTATGTATGTGGGAAATTAAGTATATGATATGGTTGCAGTGGAAAGCTGTTAAAGAGGAATTACACGAGGAAGACGAGGAAGAGGAAGAACCTGAAAATGCTTTAGAAGCTTTAGAGAAGAAAAAGCAACGGGAGATTGAGGTTTGGTGATTGTTTTTTTTAAAGTAGTTTTAATGTGGTGAAAATAAAATTATTTGATTTGGTTATGGTTTGTTTCAGCAATGGCGTGCACAGCAGATTGCAACTGGAGAAGCCAAAGACAATGCTAACTTTCAGCCTCTTGGTGGTGACTGGTAAGCTAGCTAATAATAACCAACCTCTTTTCATTCATCACAATTCTATTTCTTTTGTTATATATATATATATATATATTGTTTTAGGCGAGAGAGAGTTAGAAGGAAGAGAGCTAAAAAGTCGATGGAAGCTGAAGATAAGGAAGCCAAGGCCACGGGCACTGTTGATACAAACCAAAAACCTGATCTTGTCCAACTTACAAAACAACTTCCATCCCCTTGGCAGGTACGTGCTAAATCTTCCTATTCTTAATAATATTCTATGTATTATATATATATATATATATATATATATATATATATATATATATATATATATATATATATATATATATATATATATATATATAAAGTCATGCTGGTCAAACAGTTTCTAATCATATATATGTTGGTTAAAGTTTGGTTGTGGTGATGATATTTAGTATATTAATATAACTGTTTATGAAATTAAAATAGAAAAACTTAAGAAGAGCAAGTTATTATTATGCTGTGTGGTTTTGACTGTTGATTGTGTTTATGGCAATGGCAATGGCAATGGCAGGCATATTGGGATGAAGCATCGAAGCAAGTTTATTATGGGAACTCAAAAACATCAGAGACCTCATGGACCAAACCTCAACCCTAATTAATCCTAAACTTAATTATATTCATTTTTCATTTTTCATTTTTCATTTTTCATTTTTCACGCAGCAGCTAACAATTCTATTATGCACTGCACTTACTTTGTCTTTCTATTTACTTGCAAAGCCGATTTGTAAATTTTGTATTTTTTTTTTTCCAAGTTCGATTACTGGAGGGGTTTTCTCTTTTTGCCCCTTCTTGCCCTGGAAAAGCAGCTAGGTGGTTGGTTTGGTTGACATTGCGTTTTCTATTTCCCTTTCCTTTTACTTACTTTTATGATTTATGTGATGGATGATCTCATACCAATATTATTACAAGAGAAAAAGAAAAGGGTAATAAGCTTTTTTCTTGTTTGTTTATTTCAACTTGGAAAAATATAGAGAATTTGAAATAATGTTTATTTTCATGTCTTATGGCTTTGTCATAGACAGGAAAAACAGTTTAATTTAATTTTTGTGGCATCTCGGTTAACTCATTTTTTTCTTAGTCTCACTTCAAAGTTGAAATAATACCTTTGAAAAAAAGGTGTTTATCATTATTTGTTATCAAAACTCGGTGTTAATTACCGACCATTTTAATAATGGGTGGATTTAAAAAAAAAAATACTATAATACTCGTGATATTAGGCAATAGATGGGTTCGAAATAGAGCCAAACAAGTCAATTTTGAGCCTCAATTTATTGTATAGGGAAGCAATATATAAGTGGTAACATAGTTTTTTACTATCAATAATAAAAAAAAATGAGAATGCTGCAACTTTAAAAAGGTAGGTAAATCTTCGGTGTTCCAAATATTCAATTTATTTATTGCATATATATATATATATATATATATATATATATATATATATATATATATATATATATATATATAGGTGGTGGGGACTGGGGAGATGGATAACTAATGAATGGTCACAATAACAGCATCCCAAATTTAGTAAATATTGGTTTTCGATCATCACCTCAATCTCAATCTCAATCTCGTTATCTGCTCTCTTTCTTTTTTCCCATTCCTCTTTTTTTTCCCCTTCAATTCCTTCATGTCTACACTGCCCTCTCTCTCATTGGCAAAACTTTGATACAAATTAAAGGCAGGTACTCATCAACGCTCTTATTTCATCTAAAACTCTATTCATGCAAATATTGGCAATTGATTATTTATGATGAACGTCATAAATAATGTTATGATGAACATCATAAATAATTATAAGAATTATTTATGATGAACATCAATGCATATATTTGTGAAGATTTGTCATAAATAATCAAAATTATTGGATTCTATGGTCACTGTAAATAATTAAATATGTTGTAGTGCATACCCTTTGATAAATTCAAATTTTAATATATATATATATAAAAGAAAAACCATAGGTTTTTTCATGACCTATGGTTCTTATATATATATATATATATATATAAAAGAAAACCTATGGTTTTCTTCTTAACAGACAGTGTCCAATATTAACTAATATTACATTTTTGGTCCTTAAAAGTTATCCTTGTCTACAATTCCTCTTTTTTTTTTTTTTTTTTCAATACAAATTTGGTTGAATTTTTTTATATATCATTTTATCTGTCTTTTTTTTATTACAAACTTTTTACCAATTTTTTATACAACCTAATTGTTTTATATTAAATTTTTTTTACAGTTTTCTATAATATAATATTATATTTATAGATTTGATTATACTTTTCTAAAAACATCATATCTTCTGTATCCATCTAAACATTGTTTACAATTTTTTTTTTAAAAAAATTATAACTTATTTTTTTTGTTATGTATAATTATTTTTTCAAATTGGACAACTTCTTTTTACAATTTTAGTTTTTAAGCTTTTATATTTTTTTAGTTTAATACTAATCTTTAATACTAATATGTTTTTATTTAATTCGACTAACTTTAACAGATTATTAATGTAGATGATGTATTTTCTTCGGTTCTATTTTTTGGACTATCGTGCTAAACATCCATATAGAGAAGTTATGAATGAACAAAACCTTTTTGAAATTTTTTTCTATAAGTCTTCAAAAAACATTTTCACAAAAAAATATTGTAGTTTTATAAACAAAAACTTTAAAAAATATTTTTGTAATTTTATAAACAAAACCCACCCAACTTATGAACAAATAAATTCATAAGCTAGCTTCTACTATTTAGCTTTGGCTAAAAAGTATATAAACTCAAAATAATAATATAAGGATCAGATGGTTATAAGATTTGAGGTGCCTAATTGTCGTAAAGCCTTAAGCAGACACCCCATCTCGCATACTTAAATGCGAGTAATGACCACTCATCACCTCCCATTAAAACTTGTTTTGAAGGATCATGCCTTTAATCTTCCGTTTAATCTCGTTTTATAACTACTCCCGAACTTACCACTTCTCTTCCAACTCCGATATGGGACCATTCCTTATAAAACAAGTTCCATTTTGATTTGGGAACCCCATAAGTCTAAAGATGATATGGGTTCAAACGTTCATAAATAGTGACAGGTACACCACTGCTGTTATTAGGGAACCAGAATACTACTATGTCACTTGCCCAATTCTCCTCGCTTTCTTATTTAACATTTCTACCACCGCCTACGCCCACCACTCGGGTCCTTCCGATTCGTTGTTTCCATACTCGACCATCCACCTCCACCAGTGCAACAACCTTAAGCAACATAGTAAATTCTGGCGTCGTTGCTTGTCTTCGCGCCAAAAGGTATCATCCTCATCATCCAACACTCTCTACTCAATTCTTGTGAAATGATTTTTTGATTTCAGGTGATTGTTGTTTCCTTGCTATATGGATAATTCCAATTATCATGTAATTCTATCCATTCATGAGTGTGTTGATGATGTTTAGCGCGGATGTGGCATTGGAAGCTGCAAAGGCTGCAATTACAGGTGGAATATCGGTTGTAAGTATGCTGCTGTCGTATTGTTAGTAGAATTAAGGGTTGAAAATTTGAAATTGGTGTATGTTTTCTTCTTGCAAAGTTCCACTTGAGCTGGGCTCCCAAACGAATTGATAGCATTCGTACTTGCACCTAAGATTCATATACAAACTAACTTCTCAATTTATTGTTCCAGATTTAAAGCTCCCTTATGAAGCATTTCATATTTTTATTAATAATTTACTTGAATTATTAAGTTATTAGTTCTGAAACAAAAAGCATATGAAAACAGATTTTGTAATTAGCATCCAATTGAACTTGCTGGGGTGATTTCACCTTGTAGCTCATAGTGTTCTTGAGTAATATTGTCCCTGTCAATTGTAATAACTTGAATATAAGATGAAGTAGCCAAAATGAAAGTAAAGAAAACTGAATTAATGTAACATTTGTAGTTTTCACTCTTCAATGCCTTTAACTCACATGACTAAGCTAGAATAAGTATGCAATGAAAAATTACAATTATTAGTTTAATTTACAAGTAAACAAGGCCTTATTGGATGTAATTATGATGTTTTGACATAGAAGCAATGTTTGTTGATTTGCAGCTGGAGATTGTGGTTTCCACCCCAGGTGTTTTTGAGGTTGTTTAACATAAAGCCACTTGTATGAGTTACATGCATTTTATACATTTCTGGTTGATGATCTTGAAAGCTTATAGTTTTCCACATTTTTTATTTGATAGGTTTTACATCAACTGGTGCAGGATTTTCCAACCACAACTCTAGGGGTAAGTGTTTCATATTCATCAATTGTATGATCATTTTTAGTGAACTGTTTTGTCAAAGATGAATTCTTAACATATCTTAAATTCTTAATGCCCTAACATGTTCTAGATTGGCACTGTTTTAAATATTGAGGATGCTGAAAATGCAAAAAAAGCTGGTGCAAAATTCATCATGAGTCCTGCAATTGTAAAGGCATGTTAGAAATTATTACAACAATATAACATTTTTTTATGATTTTTAAATATTCTGTTAATAATGTAAATTGTTTGTTGTTTGTAGGGTATTCTGGAAGAAGACAGTAATGATTTGCTATATATACCCGGTGTAATGACCCCAACAGAAGTAAGTATACAATTACTTTTTTTTGGCTTCTTAATAAAAACTAAGGCATTTGTAGAGTTATATATTATTATTATTATTATTATTATTATCTGTAAAATTATTTTACAGATACTTTCATCATATAATGCTGGTGCCAAAATGGTGAAGGTTAGGTGGTTTTACATTCATATTTCTTTCTATTACATTTTTATGTTATCTACTCATTTGAAATTAATTAAAAAAAGCAAAATTTATAATGATCGTGTATCTTTAAAGGTATACCCTGTTTCTGCACTTGGTGGTTTTGGATACATAGCAACTTTGAAGAAGCCTTTTCCTCACATTCCTTTAATTGCATCTCAAGGAATAACAACTGGTGGGTTATAATTATATATACTGTGTTTGTTATACATGATATAACATGATATGACATGACATAACATAACATAATATTTTTATTATTATATAGATTTAGTTGGTGAATATATTGGTGAGGGAGCATCAGCTGTTGTTCTATCTGATGCTATTTTTGAGAAAGAGGCAATGGCTCAAAGAAACTTCAGTGCAATTTATCAACTTGCAAAACTTGCAACTTCACAAGGCAATGAAGCTGTAAAAAGGTATTTACTATTTACTATTATAGGTTTATTATTATTATTGTTTTTACTTTTTACTTAATCATACACCATATCTAATTATACATCTCATGTAGCAAATTATTTGGAATTTTGTAGGCGTCAACGCCTTGCTGTTTCGATACCCTTTTCTTTATAATTACTCTACACCAAATGGATAAAAAAGGTTTGATAGCAACCCTTATATTTATTAACTTTTTACAAACTTGACACCTTTTTTTGTTACAATAACTTTATAAATTATATTATTAGATATTGATAACGAAATGAAATTATTCGTGTATAATTAATTATAGTATTATTGAAACAACAATTTTATTAATAACACAGGTAATAATATTAAGTATACATTGTTATTGTACAAGCAATATACTAAAAATAAATAAGTTCAAAGTTGAATGACCAATTTGTACAAATGTAACTATGATTAAATCGAGTGTATGAATTAATTTTGGTCTATACTTTTTTTCTTTTACAAGTTTGGTTGTGATGATGATATTTATTTAGTATATTAATATAACTGTTTATGAAAAAAAAAAAAACTTAACAAGAATAAGTTATTATTATAAGAGAAAATTATAAATTTAGCAAAATACATTAATAACTTTGTGAAAAATAGCCAAAAAAACTCAAATTACAAAAATAACCCTTAAAATCGCAGATGGATTAAACCCATTTGCGATTTTGCCATTCCATCTGCGAACGTACAAGAGCCAAAAGCACAGATGTGCTTTAGGCACTTGTATGTTCGCAGATGGAAAAGTCCATCTGTGATTTTGTGAAGTCCATCCGTGATTTTGTGGGATCTAGTATAAAAACGTTTTTTTTCCTTCATTTTTCACTCTCTTTCTTGGTGAAACTTTCTCTCTCTTTCTGCGATTTCCTTAGAGCTATCATGGATGATATCATGGACGATTTTCTTAAAGATGTTTTAAACAAATTTTCCAAAAAAATAACAATAAAAATGATAATTTATTGAAAAATTTTATATATAATAAGGTTGTTTTGTAGTCAAACCTATCAATTTCATAGTCAAAATCAAAAAATAAAAAATAAACGAATTTTTTTTTTCACAAAATCGCAGTTCAAAAGGAGAGGAAATCGTAGATGGACGTAGTCCATCTGCGATTTTAGGCTGAAAAAGGGGTATATATACAGCGAAAAAAAAAACCAACTGCGAATGTACAAAGTGGCTAAAGCATGTTTCAAGTGGCTAAAACACGTCTGTGCTTTAGCCACTTGTACGTTCACAGATGACATGTCGAAATCGCAGATGAATTATACCCATCTGCGATTTTAGTGGCTAAAAATGCAATTTTGGGTTTTTTGGCTATTTTTCACAAAGTAATTAGTATATTTGGCTAAATTTGCTATTTTCTCTCATTATAATTATAAAGTGTGGTTTTGACTTTTGATTGTGTTTATGACAATGGCAATGGCAGGCATATGGGGATGAAGCATCAGATCATATTGGGATGAAGCATCGAAGCAAGTTTATTATGGGAACTGAAAAACATTAGATCAGAGACCTCATGGACCAAACCTCAACCCTAATTCCTAAACTTACATAGGGTGCGTTTAGTTGCAGAAAAATGAGCCGTTTTCCGGAAATTTTTTCCAAAAAAAATGAGAATTTTGAAAACGCGTTTAGTTCATCTATTTTTCTAAATTTTTCACAGAAAATGAAAATTTCCTGTTTTCTAAAATTATAAAGAAGTTGAAAATTTTTGGAAAACTGATAATTATTATTTTCCACATTTTTCTAATTTCAAATTTTTTCTAAAATATAAGCACCTACTCCTACCCCATCCACTTCTACCTACCATCACCTTAATACCCCCAACCCATCACACCCTTACCTACCTACACTTACTCCCAAACCCATCTCCACCCCTACAAACACACACACACACACACACACAACCCCCCCCCCCCCCCCACACACACACCAACCCCCACAAACACACACACCCACCCCCCCCCACACACATACATACATATATATATACACACACACATAGAGGCTCATTTAGGCCCGATTAGGCTCGCGAGCCCACTACAATTTTCACGAGCCGAGCTCGAGCTTCATTTTAAGGCTCGAATCGAGCTCGGACTTCCTCAAAATTAAACGAGCCGAGCTCGAGCTTGGTCAGGCTTGGGCTCGGCTCGTCTCGTTTATACCCCTACTTCTTGCCCTGGAAAAGCAGCTAGGTGGTTGGTTTGGTTGACATTGCGTTTTCTATTTCCCTTTCCTTTTACTTCGTTTTATGATTTATGTGATGGATGATCTCATACTAATATTATTACAAGAGAAAAACAAAAGGGTAAGAAGATTTTCTCTTGTTTGTTTATTTCAACTTGGAAAAGTATAGAGAATTTGAAATAATGTTTATTTTCATGTCATGAGGCCTTGTCATTGAGAGGAAAAACAGTTTAATTTAATTTTTGTGTCATCTCGGTTAACTCATTTTTTTCTTAGTCTCACTTCAAAGTTCAAATAATACCTTCGAAAAAAAAGGTGTTTATCATTATTTGTTATCATAACTCGGTGTTAATTACTGACCATTTAATAATGGGTGGATTTAAAATTAAAAAAAAACAAATACTATAATACTCGTGATATTAGGCAATAGATGGGTTCGAAATAGAACCAAAGAAGTCAATTTTGGGTTTTGCAGTTCTGACATATATTTTGAATCTGTTTTGAAGCTCAATTTATTCGATAGTGAAGAAATATATAAGTGGTAAAATATAATTTTTTTACTATCAATAAAAAAATGAGACTGCAGTACACAAGTAGTAGTCTATGTTCAAGTTGAAAAAGGTAGCCAAATATTCAATGTACTTATTGCAAATATACAAGAAAGAAAACGACTAATAAGTTATCACCATGATAGATTTCATTTGTTGTATATAGAAAATGGGTGGATTAAGAAATAGATAATGAATGTATTTAGGTGGTGGGGAGATGGATAACTAATTAATGGTCACAAAAACAGCATCCCAAATTTAGTAAATATTGGTTTTCGATCATCACCTCAATCTCAATCTCAATCTCGTTATCTGCTCTCTTTCTTTTTTCCCATTCCTCTTTTTTTCCCCTTCAATTCCTTCATGACTACACTGCCCTCTCTCTCATTGGCAAAACTTTGATACAAATTAAAGGCAGGTACTCATCAACGCTCTTATTTCATCTAAAACTCTATTCATGCAAATATTGGCAATTGATTATTTATGATGAACGTCATAAATAATGTTATGATGAACATCATAAATAATTATAAGAATTATTTATGATGAACATCAATGCATATATTTGTGAAGATTTGTCATAAATAATCAAAATTATTGGATTCTATGATCACTGTAAATAATTAAATATGTTGTAGTGCATACCCTTTGATAAATTCAAATTTTAATATATATATATATATATATATATATATATATATATATATATATATATATATATATAAAAGAAAAACCTATGGTTTTTATATGTATTTTCATGACCTATGGTTCTTATATATATATATAAAAGAAAACCTATGGTTTTCTTCTTAACTGACAGTGTTCAATATTAACTAATATTACATTTTTGGTCCTTAAAAGTTATCCTTGTTTACAATTCCTTTTTTTTTTTTTTTTTTTTTTTTTTTTTTCAATACAAATTTGGTTGAATTTTTTTATATATCATTTTATCTGTCTTTTTTTATTACAAACTTTTTACCAATTTTTTATACAACCTAATTGTTTTATATTTAATTTTTTTTTACAGTTTTCTATAATATAATATTATATTTATAGATTTGATTATACTTTTCTAAAAACATCATATCTTCTGTATCCATCTAAACATTGTTTACAAATTTAAAAAAAAAAAATTATAACTTATTTTTTTTGTTATGTATAATTATTTTTTCAAATTGGACAACTTCTTTTTACAATTTTAGTTTTTAAGCTTTTATATTTTTTTAGTTTAATACTAATCTTTAATACTAATATGTTTTTATTTAATTCGACTAACTTTAAGAGATTATTAATGTAGATGATGTATTTTCTTCGGTTCTATTTTTTGGACTATCGTGCTAAACATCCATATAGAGAAGTTATGAATGAACAAAACCTTTTTGAAAATTTTTTCTATAAGTCTTCAAAAAACATTTTCACAAAAAAATATTGTAGTTTTATAAACAAAAACTTTAAAAAATATTTTTGTAATTTTATAAACAAAACCCACCCAACTTATGAACAAATAAATTCATAAGCTAGCTTCTACTATTTAGCTTTGGCTAAAAAGTATATAAACTCAAAATAATAATATAAGGATCAGATGGTTATAAGATTTGAGGTGCCTAATTGTCGTAAAGCCTTAAGCAGACACCCCATCTCGCAAACTTAAATGCGAGTAATGACCACTCATCACCTCCCATTAAAACTTGTTTTGAAGGATCATGCCTTTAATCTTCCGTTTAATCTCGTTTTATAACTACTCCCGAACAAGCCAAAAAACAACAAATCCCGGCCACCGTGGACGGCGGCAGCGCAGCAAGTAATTGCTATGCAGAAATCGCACATTTGGCGACACAGAGAGCACCTTCCGACGCAAAACCTAACCGCCTTTGCTCTCCGACCACCCACGTCGGATCTTTCCGGTGTCGTTACCATAGAAGCAGTTCCCTCGGCAACCGTGGCGCTTCATTTAATCATCTCTCGAACGTCGACGACCAAAACTAGTCTCCTCAGCAACGCTCATGGAAAGCTACATTCCTTTTTTTAATCTATATTACTTTGTAAAGTGTAATTGGGTGATTATTCTCATTAGTTGATTTGAGTATCGTAAAGTAAACAACTCCAATTTTGGATTACCAATTTATTGTGCAGAAATCAGAATGCAAGTATACAAAGCGAAAGGTACTAGAAGGTAGAAAGTACAAACAACATTGGAATGGAATCGGTTATTCCTATTTTTGTCTCTTGTATATTTTTGCCAAGAAAGATTTCAACACGGCTTGTACGGGTTTGCTTGGGTGAGTTTCGATTGATTTCACCAACTTTTCGTAAGTCTTATTCTCGTAATCTTCAAACACGCCCTAAAATATATAACATAAAAAAAGAAGAAGCCAAAGGGGTAAGAATTGTATATATATTAAAGAATGAAATAGTGAATGGAGAAAAAAATAAAACCTGAAGGTTGAGAGAATCGTATAGTTCCTTTACTTTTGCCACGCTGCCCGGATCCTTCCTCCCGTAGTTCTCCTGAATAAATAAATAATAAAGAAAATGCAATTTTTTGTTAAATCTGAGGAACCAACTGTCTGTTGAATAGTAAAAACAAAAATTTATTGTTTGATTAAAAAAGGTTTGTAAAGAACGGTACTATATATTGAAAATCAATATAGGTTAGAAAAAAATATTCTCTTGTTTTTTTTTTTTCTTTGTTACAGATGGTTTAATGAGTTGAGTAAAAAATGGGATTAAGGGTTGAAGATGGTATATATAGTATAGAGAAAAAGAGATGTGGTGGTTGATGCTTACGTTAAGAAGTTTCTTCTGCTCCTCGTTAGAAAGTTCCAATGCTTTCACAACCAACCATGAACACTTGAAGTCTTCGATGTCTGTTCCAATCTGTACCAATCGACAGCATCATCACTTGTGCTTCTTTAATATAAATAAATAAAATGATATTTTTGGTGGACTAACCTTTCCAATCACCTCAGGAGCACCAAAACAGTCAAGATAATCATCCTACAAGATTTTCATTCAACAATAAAATTAACAATCACAAATTATATTCATTTCAACCGGCAAAAAGTAAAAATAATACAGTATCTATTTGTGTATAACTCTTAAAATGACCTAAAAAAAAATCACCTGCACTTGAAAATAGGTACCCATTTCAACGAGGACATCTTTCACTTGTACATGATCATCGAGATTCTCTCCAAACATAAGGAGCGCACAGGCAACCTTCAACCAAACAAGAAATCAAATTATGTTTTTTAAAAAAAAAAAAAAATAGAAATATAAACAAAGTAAAATAAGCACGGATGTCTACTCACCGGAATATAAAATGAGTAATAGGCTGTTTTGTACTGAACAATCCGGCGGTGACTGCAACAGAAGACGAAATTTTGACTTACATGGATCATGCAAGTGGAGTTTATGAAGAGCTAGAGACTTATAAGATTGCCACTTACATGGATAAAGAATATTTCGACAGATCTTTCTCTCCAACAAGTGTAGTAATCAAATCAATCATCTGCCCAGATGCTGTTTGGAATTCCACCTGTTCAAATTCCAAAACAGGGGATTAAGAAAACCTTATATGAACTAAAAATCAAATCAAGTTGTTAATAATTAAAATGACTATGTAACATAAACAAACCTCATTGAACAGATCGAGTAGATCCACATAATAAGTCTTTGATCTGAAATGTTTCTTTAAGATTCTGGAAATATGGTTGCGAAGAACAACTCCATCATTTACAGCAATCATACCAACTTTGGGTAATCTAAACCAACAGGGTTGACCTCTGCGTGTATGGGATTCATCCATAATGTCATCAAGTACAAGAAAATATGCTTGAAGCTGCAATCACAAGATACAACCAATGCTATCATGTAACACGACTAACTTGATTCTTTTTTACTTAATGCATCAAGCACTTAATTTGGACAAGTATACACGACTCTTTCTTTTTGACTTAGCCTGGAAAGGACAATTTAATGGGTAAAGCCAAATTAAAAACTTGACTTAATGTATTAAGACATGACTCCTTTTTACCTATCTTGATCACTGCTTTTTTCCTACCAACTACTCTCACGTTACAATTAATGAAAATTGTGGAAAAAATAGAATGTAAAGTTCTCAACGTTTTCACTTTATCCAATCAGACATAGTTACCCATTCAATCACGTTTAACCAAACATACATCATTACCCATTCGATCACTTTATAACTTAGTTGGGAAAAAAACATACAGCCCCTTAATAGTTATTTGGAAAAGAAAATTCATATGCATAGGCACAAATTAATAGTTTTTGGTATTTATATGTAATTACCCATTCAATGCACCAACCAAGGGCACATGCAAGAAAAACTTCATCTTCTGTTAGTTCTTCTCCTTTTAGAAGCTTGTAGCTGTCCACAACAGAAAGGCCTCTATTTAACTTTCCTGCATAAACCGTATTATATTTTGTTGTAAGATAGACAATCAATTTGCAAAAGGTTAAATTTATTGAATAAAAATTATGGAAAAACTGATTTTACAGCTGTTTTTACCTCCAGGTACATTGTAGTCAAGCATCTGCAGAAAGTAAGAAAAACAATTGTTAAAGTTGTAAGATATGGCTATTAGTTTCTTGCTACGAAGATCACATAATAGAATTCAAACATTAAACAGCTACAGAAACGACAAACACAAGAGCTTACATAGTAACATGTCCCTCCAAATAAATAGGACACATGAAGGTATATACATTACGATAGTTTCAAAGAAAGAAAACTAATGTTTAGGCCCCATAGTTGATCAGCTATTAGGTTTTGTAAAAGAAAACAGAGATACATGAATTCTATCTAATTTCTGTATTTGAATAATCAAATTTTCATCAAAAACTCAGAAGTTTATATATATTAATATATTTGAGCCGAATAGATAGATATAGATTTAGAAGTTAGAACGTGAAACGTTTAAACTATGCACTCAGTGTAATCATCTCCTAATTATTGTAGCAAAAGAATTTCAATAGTGATTAGCAGAAAATTAAATCCTAATCTCGCGCAAATCTTCTCGAAATTTATAAAATATTTTAAAAACAGATATCCAAGTCAGCGACAAGCGTCCACAGTCAACGCATTAATGCATACAAAAATAATACATGCATAAATAAATCGAACAATTGGACATTCAGAGATGAGGTGGCGAAGAACTGTAAATATATGAAATTAACAATTAATCGTACCCGTTCGACCCACTGACGAGAATCGTCGTCGAACTCAAATGAAGGATCATGAATTAGCTCCGATTTCAGAACCTCATAAACTTGCAGGAATTTCGACTTCAGATCGCTGCTCATTGTTGTAGAGAGAGAGAGAGAGAGAGAGAGAGAGAGAGAGAGAGAGAGAGAGAGAGAGAGAGAGACGATGATGCAGGAGGCAATGGATTGGTGGGTTGAGACTTGAGATCGGGTTGGGAGGGAGTATTTGTAGCCAGATAATGCTGCTGTACTTTGCTGAATAACACTAACACACCTAAATACACACCACCTGTAGGTGTATTTGTCCAATCAGCAACTAATTTTAACCCTTTCCTCTCATAATAATACAATATTTTCGTATATCTAAAAACTTACATTTATTTCTTTTCCTGTTTAGTGTTTGTACTTTGTTTTGCCTTAGCATCTTGCTAAGTGCTTTGCGTTCATTAATATATATTCTATTTGCTTTTTCAAAAAAAAAAAAAAAAACTTTATTATATTTGTAATCATTACTTATTACTAAGGTTTTAAACAACGTACGACGTGATTTGGCGGCAATGTCAAGCTTTAAGTTTTTTCAAATCTTGCCGAACCACGATGTTTGTAATAGGGATGAGCATATGGACCGGGGAACCGGCCGGAACCGGTACCGGAACCGGAACCCGATGGAACCGGTCGGGCCGGGACCGGGACATTATTTTTGTGGATTTTTGGAACCGGAAACCGGTAGGAACCGGAACCGATATAACCGGAACCGGCAAAAACCGGTAGAACCGGCAAAAACCGGAACCGTATGATGCTATTTTTCAAGGATCGGTTCTAACATTTGAAGACACGACAAGAACCGGTAGGAACCGGGAACCGGTGGAACCGGAACCGGTAGAACCGTCGGGCCGGTTCGGTTCTTAATTTTGGCCGAAGCCGGTTCCCGGTTCCGGTCCGGTTCGGGCCGGTTCCGACCGGTTCGGTTCTTTTGCTCATCCCTAGTTTGTAAGGCGTGACTTAAAGCGATAATTTTGTATATATATATATATATATATATATATATATATATATATATATATATATATATATATATATATATATATATATATAACTATTATTCTATTTTAATTATGATGACGTTTTGGTAAAACTTGACGGCAGATACAAGTCTTGGAGCCATGACGTGCCACGACGAAGCCATGACGAGCTTTTTAGAACCTTGCTTATTACTTATTATTATTTAACTTATTTACATGGATGATTCTAAATATCTTTAGAGGGCATGTATGACAAAAGTAATTGTTAGAAGGTAGAAGGGCAACTGATAGTTGGAAACTGTAATTTTTTTTGTTATGAGTTGTTGGTAAAAAATAGTCGAAAACTTTTGAAATATATAAAATTATATAAAAAGACAATTATATATATATATATATATATATATATATATATATATATATATATATATATATATATATATAAAATGCAAAATAAAAAGAAAATCCATCTTTTTAAATATTATTTTCATTATTTAATTTATCCAAAAAAATAAAAAATAATAAAAAATAAAAAATTAAAAAATCTCAATTTTTTGAAATATGAGTGAAATATTATAATAGAATATTACACTGTAAATAATCAAATTGAAATTTTGAAATGTTAGAATATTCTAGTATTCTATTAAAATTGGTAGATATCTTAAAATATTTTAATATTGTATTTGAACTTTAGATTTCTTAGAATATTCTAATATTCTGTTAGAATTGTTTTGAATATTTATAGTTTAATATTCTAGTAGAATGTTATAACATTCTAAAAATTCGATTTGAATATTTACAGTATAATATTCTATTAGAATTTTTTTGAAAAATTTCATTTATTTTGTTTTTTAAAAATATTTTTTTGATCTTCAAAATGAATGGCTAGGATTGCATCACACTCTCACAAAATATGATAGTCTCACATGAACAAACCCTATATATAATAGTACAATAGTATTAGTCCTACATCGTCACTACAATAATATTAGTTCCTACATCGTTAATATAATAGTACTAGTTCTTACATAGTTAGTACAATAGTATTATTAAAATCGCAATATCCTATCATGATTTTCATCTTTTATCGTAGTATTACATATTATTATTTTAACCTTTCATTACCTTTCACTACCCAATGTATTATATTCATAAAAATACATATACAATATAAATCAAGTAAATTTATCTTTATAAAATTTTACCTAACCTATAACATCTTTGCACATAAGCACATATATCATTCAATTATCTGAATACTGATGGGTTTAAAGCAAAACATACAATCTTATGTGTGCATGCAACCCTAATAAGATCTATGTCTTCTCTAATTGAACATACAATATTACAACAATTGATAAACCCTAGATCTATGATAAATAATCGAAAATCACATAATAATGTTTATGATACATACCTTTGATTGTTATGTAGTAATAACAATTTAAAACCTTGAAGATGTTGAAGTGTGAGAGCAAGTATCATAAGTGTAATACCTCTAATGAATCACAAACACACTTAGCAAGAAGATGAGATATGAGAAGGGAGGATGAAGTTTTAATTTTCGGTTATTACTCTTTAGGGTTTCATGTGGCCAAAAATACCAAAAGGTTAGGCTCATTATATAGTGAGGTGACTTAGAGCCAAAGTTAGGGTTAGAATTAGGAAACCCTAATTGCTTTGCTTAAGGACCAAGCATACCCTAAACCTTCCATCTAATAGTCATCGGACGAAAATTATATGGCCTTCCTAGAAGATTTTTTCCAAGCCTCTTTGGGGAGGTTATAGAGCTTCTTTCCTCAATTATCAATAAATTGCCAAACAGCCCCTGCACTTTTAATTAGTTCAATTAGTCCCCAAATTAATTCCAATTAATTTCTGATTAACTATTAACTAAATAATATGATTTCCAATTAAAATATTATTTCCATAATACTTAATAAATCATTCATTTCAATTTATTAATCAAATAATAAATTCTTCCTCTTTCCCAATAGGTCATCTTGTCTAGTTGCTCATATGAAGGCAACCCAAAAGGGTTGTGCTACTATCAATTCAAGTATATACTAATTATATTAATGGGTTCAGACACCTAATCCAACAGTCTCCCATTTGGATAAGTCTTATAACTATAGTTTCCAGAATAACTTCAAATTTTGATTAGCAAATTATAGCTCTCAAAGCTGCTGATGAACTCTGGCCTAGTCAGATATGAGTCCTAAGATAAATGATCATATAATCCTCCGTTCTGCAATATATCATGTGGAAAAACGACATGGAACTGAGTGAATCTCATTTTCCAATACTTTGTTTCCCGATTTCCGATTTGTAATGGCAAATAACTACTAATCAGACACATCAATTTAGTCCTGGCCGGGCCCGAAACTATAACTCAACACCAAATCATCGAGGGGCCCAAGATATTGATTTTCCCGTTAGGGCAAAAGGAACAGATAAACTTTGTCTTATATGCTTGTACTATTTACTTTTCAAATCACGCACAACAATACATTTTTTAACAACAATACATTTTTTAACATCAAGTTACTGATGCGTTTACGTATTATCAATGCACAACCAACTCGTAAACAACAACTCATATATCTACTTTCAATATTATAAGATATTATTGTTAGGTTTTGAGCATTCTAACACTTCCTAAGTGTACATGCAACCCTAATAACCTTGAACCTATGTTTTCTCTATATACATGCAAATTTCTTTTACAAGGTTATTTCCTAACTAGCATGGCATGGGGAATATATGAAACATAAAACTAGTAGAAAAACATACCTTGTTGTTGCTTGGATTCCTTTGAGACTTTGTGAGCCTAGCACCCCAAATGTTGTGCCTCAAATGCTTCACACAACACCACAAAACTTGGAATAACTTGAGAGAATATTTCTTACACTCAAAAATCAATTATGCCCTCTCTAGTAACACTAGTGCCGATTTTGCATGCTATAGGGTTTCTTTTATAGTGTGTCATAATTAGGAGTTACAAATGTAAACCCTAATTGTCATGACTCTTCATTTCTCATGACCCATGGGTTTGTAACTCCCATGGACTATCCATGGAGCTCCATATGGTTATAACCAAACCCATAAACCATGGATCATTAATCCACCATAAAAGAATTGATGATTGTCATAATCAACCCTATATATTTAATTAGTCTCACTTTGATCACCAAATTAATACTAGATTAATACTTGATCAAATACTAATTAAATAATACTATTATTAATATATTAGAACTTATAATATATTAATAATCATAAGTGCCTTATTCTCTCATTTAGTCTATCCAAGTATTGCAATGCCATGCAACCCAAATGGACCATGCCGGGTCGGGTCAAGTTCATACCAAATAAAGTTATGGACTTAGACACTATATCCAACAGTCTCCCACTTGGATAAGTCTAATAACTATATTTGCAAATATGACTTCAAAATCCGACTAGCAATCGTAGCTCTTTCAAAGTCTCTCGGAACTGAGATGATGATGATACGCCATTTAAGATAAGTGATCATATAATCCTCTGTTCTCATGATATCAGCCGGACAAACACATGGAACATGGTCTTACTTATTGTCCAACATTTGTTTCTCGATCTCGATTTGTTTCGACATAGAACTAAATTGAACACATCAATTAGGTTCTGACCGGGCCCGGTACATAGGTCAAAACCAAATCATCGAGGGGCCCAGATATCGCTTCTATTTCTAGAAGGAACAGATAAACTTCGACTGATATGCTTGTACTAACTACTTGTTGAATTATTCACAAAGGCACGTTTTATAACATCGAGTTACCAATGCGTTTTCGTACAATCAATGAATAACCAACTCATAGTCAACAACTCATATCTCTAGGTTTGAAGATTTATATGATATTACCGTCTCACGATCACTCGAGATAAATTCCATGAAGTGATGCAAGTGAGCGTGGGTTGAATCCAATACTCAGCCCTTATGAGTACTCATGAATGTTGTAGCAACCATTGCATTGTCTAAAGCACTTTAGACAAATCATACAAGCCAAATTCATGACAGTCTTGATTCATATCTACTTCCAACATATGACTGACTGTGGATGGTTTGAATAATTATCATTCAGGAAGAACATATTATTCTGGAAGTC